CCCAATTATTCGTGTATAGCTTATACACAAGTGACCTAATAGACAGCTAGGAGAGTAGGCAATACTCAAGATCTGCTTTATCGCATTTCTTGTGTAAAAGGCTTATGATTCGGATGTTCCAGTCATCTGGGATGCACATGATGGAAATTTTCGCCGACAGTTTCCTGTCTGATGCTGACGGTTTGTACTTAGTTCTTCCTTCATCTTTTCAAGCGCCTTGTAAATCTTTGCTACAAAAACGTCAGTAGTGTCCTCTGAATATTGGTTCATCAGTCTTCTGTGCTGATGTTGCATAAAGAGAATACTTCAGAAAAACTGGCAGGTTCCCCGAACGAACAACGGTATTCTTGAGAAACCCATTTCACTATTATTGAGGTAATGCACATCTAACATTAGCTTCGCTAGGCGGTTGAGTCGCCCGCATGCCAGACTTACGTCTTTCTGAGCAAATTATGTATTCAGAAAGGTAAGAAAATGTCCTCAAGACGAAAATGAAAACATGTAAGATAGATGAAGGTGACCAGAATGCTAAAGCCTTGAATAATTCCGCACGGCGACGATGAATTCATCAACGCTCGGAGTATTTCGAACGGCAAAGGCGAAGGTTTGCGAAAGATGATAAATTGGTCTGATAAGAGTTAGTCTACAACCTAGATCATAAGTCATAATTTCATTAGACGATGAACAAATCACTACATAGTCGGAACTAAATTCGTAACCAAATCTGCAGCTCTCCTACGACGTATGATAGGTACCTACTTAAATGTAAGAGCTGTATACTTATATATACATATATTGACCATAAATAGCTATCATTCCTTTGTAATAAAACACAATAACTAACCACTATTCATAAACTACGTATACTGTTGTAAAGAATACATTACTTCTATTAATAACTCTCGCCTCGATGTAATCGAAAACCCAAAATTCTGTATATGTCTACGAACTGGAGCATAAGTTTCAGCGAGCACTTATAGGACATTGAGCCTCTATTTGAGAGCGAAATTACCAAAGTAGAATTTCAGAGTAGAACTGCTGGAACATCACTGTTTAATACTGGCTAGCTTTATTTAGTTAGATCCGTATTATGAGGAATCAATAGAGTTTGTGTAGAGAGATGAGATTGAACTTATACACTTTAGGGTTATTAGTTACGAATTGACCACTTACTAGAAGATTTTAGGTGTAGCAAGCATGGCCTCAACTATAAGGTATATTTTAAAAAAACGTATAATAAGTGAATAACTAGACCCGACAAAAATCACAAAGAGAAGCTCTCAAACAAAAAATAAAATTATATAGGATGTTTCATTTAACATTTGATACTTATTCATATACACTAAAACGACTATTAGATAAATGCCTATTTTAAGCAAATCAATTTTCATCGTGAACTTTTTTTCCTTACTACTTTCAGTTTGATTATAGGTGGAAGTCGTGAAAGAGCGCTGCTGCAGGTAATGCACTTTTGTTTATATAGATTGTACTACATTTTTCATAATTGTAATAATTAAACTTGACAGTTTAATTTTAATTTGATAAAATGAATCCGTATAGTCATTAGTTTAACACAAAGTTGAAAAACCTGTCATTCATGCCATCATTTTCAAAAGGAACTAAAGCTAGTACCTACAAAAGAATGCAGACTCTAAAGCAACACTTGATAAAACCAAATACACAAGATTCTTTCACAAGATACATGCGCAGTGTAGCGATGTATCATACGCAAATGACGCTGTATGTTTTCCATTCTTCGAAATATGGATCAGGGCCATTTGCTTTGGAATTTGTTTGTCTCTAGAAGCCTCTAGAATGAGAGGAGTCTTTTTGTTGTAGGTACTCATGATGATAAGCGTTCATATTTATGTTCTAATTCATCATCAACAACTACAGCCAGATTTAGATTCCTCCGACACTTTAAAGCATAATAATTTCAATGATACTCATAGGATAACAAATTTTTAATTCAATCTAGCAGTTTCGACGTTGGTCATCATTAATTTGCATTTTATTGGAATTGAATAATAAATACCAAATAATTTATTATTATTTAAATAATAATAATAATAATAATAATAAAAGGACTTTATTAAAAAATTGAAAAAAAATACAGATACAATAAGTTGAATACATAATTTTAAGTAAGGTTGGTATAAAGAACGGGTTGCTACCCCGTGGCGAAGTCTAGCACCAGGAGCTATTTTTACTCAACCACAAAGTAGGCCCATTACTTTATGTAAAATAAAACAGGTGTTCCCAAATGGTACCGCACCAATTAAAAAAATTCCATTTTTTGTTGTTTTATTAGTTGTTTTTTTCTTGCTCTTCCATGCATCGACCATCCCACAGCACAACATTTCACTATCACTCCAATCTATCTTTTTCTTTATCTATTATTATGGGATTGAATAGAAAACAGAAACTGCCGGTATTTAATCTTAAATTGATGTACATTTAGTTGTTTTAATTCATCTAGAGTCTCATTATACAATTTAATGGCATTGTAAATGCAGCTCCTTTGATACACACAAGTTCTGAAACGAGGGACCTGATACTGTTTTTTGTGTCTAATGTTTACATTATGAAGAGTGGACCGAGGAATAAATTTATTTTTTAGAATTTTAGATGAGCTATCCGTTGTTAGAACACAATGGACAAAGTTGGCGAGGTGGTGTTTCCTACGGTTTTCCATATTTAGCCAAGAGGCATCTGTCACTTTCTGGGAAATTCTGTCAAACTTCTTTAGACCGTAAATCAGTCTACAACAGTTATTTTGCATTTTTTGTATTCTGAATTTATCGTTGCTGTAAAGGCAGTTGCTATAAAGAAAATCACAGTAGTTATAGTTTGACAGAACCAGGCTTTCACAAAGATTTTTTTAAAGTTTTAAGTCCAAAATATGTCTATTTGAATATAAGAGTTTAAGAGAACAGAATGCTTTTCTGCTTATATTTTTGACATGCTCAACAAATCTTAAATCTTCGTCAATTGTAAGGCCAATACTTTTGACAGAAGTTTCGAATGGCAGCAGTACGTTATTAATTTTTACGCTGAGGTTTTGCTTAATAAAATTCCGATCTTTTAGTTTTCCAAAGCATATTGCCTGTGATTTTTTGGAATTGAGTAAGAGGTTGTGTTCCTCTGATAGTTGCTGAATTTTACTTAGTTCGTTGTTAATTGTATTTTCCGCTTCTGCGTAATCCGAAACTTTAAAGTGATGGTAAATTTGCTTGTCATCCGCATAGGCCGCTACAGAACAGAGACTTACGGAGTTGAGGATGTCGATTGTATATATAATAAACATAAGGGGTGCTAGAATAGAGCCCTGGGGGACTCCACTTAAGATAGCAGAATTTAGAGAAGACACTCCATTGAAACTTATTTTTTGAAACCTCTCCGAGAAGTAAGACTTGATCAAAGAAACAGAGTCATAATCAAATCCATAAAACTTTAATTTTGAGCACATTAATCGATGGTCTATTGTATCGAAGGCTTTTGAGAAATCCAGCAAAACAAGCACGCTAATCTCTCCTGAATCCCAGGCTGACATAATATCATCCAGTATTGTGGTCAAAGCGGTTGCTGTGCTGAAATTTTTTCTGAAGCCGCACTGAGTGTCGGGAAGAATCTTGTTTTCAATTATATACTTGAAAATCTGGTTATATAGGACACGTTCTAATATTTTGGACATAGCTGGCAACAAACTTATTATTCTAACATCGGCAAGACTCTGAGGATTTGTGTTTTTAGCCAGTGGCGTACCAATTGATGTTTTCCAGATCTTAGGAAAGTAGTTTTGCTCGATACAACAATTAATTATGTTCAAGATATACACGTCAATGTATGGACTGCACATTTTTAACATTCTAGCTGATACGTTGTCACAGCCATAGGCATTGGTTTTAATATTATTTAGAATTTTATGGATATCCTCGACTGAAGCAAATGAAAATGAAAACGTGAGATTTTGATTGAACAGATGGTTGTTATAAAAGTTGATCTGATTATTGCATTTTGCAGAAACTTTCTGAAAAAATGGAGAGAAATAATTATTGATTTCTTCTGCAGAGAAACGTTTTGGTGGAATCAAAGAGCTGTTTTTTTTTGTTTTTATGTGTAGATTTTCCAGAGTTTTCCAGATCTTTTTCGGGTCGTTCTCAGTAGAGATATTTTTTAGATAGTTTTTTTTTGCAGTCCTGATAAGTTGAAGAGTTTGGTTGCGCAAGTTTTTATATGTAGTCCAATCTAGGGCAAGTCTGGTGCCTTTATATTTCTGTAAGGCCTTATTTCTGCTTTTTTGTGCAGTTTTAATTTCATAGTTTAGCCAAGGAGCTTTAGGCTTTGTAATTCTGCATTCACGAATTGGAGCGTGCTTGTCAAAAACACTTAAAAGCAGCGAGTTAAATATATCGAGCTTCTTATCGATGTTTCTTTCATGAAATATTTGTTGAAAATTTAGAGAAGTGAGATCCGTGTAAAAGTCATCAAAGTTGAGATTACGAAAACACCTTGTTTTAATTATTTTTGGTTTAGGTTTGGTGAGGTTTATTTTGAGTTTTGCATGAACTAAATGATGGTCAGTTGTTTCGTGACAGGAGATGGTACCACATGATTCAACAAGAGATGTGTCATTAATAAAAATGGGGTCGATTAAGGAACTACATTTTTCGGTCACCCTAGTAGGCTCATTCATATGATGAAATAGTATTTTCCGTAGTTTATCTGACAACAAAAAAAAAGTTTTCAATTTTTATGTAAAATAATGTGGAATCCATATAAGATGCAGAGTATTCTCACATTATTTGTGACACCAGCGGATTGTCCGGTGATTTGTAAGAGCTCAATAATTAGCGTTTTTTTATCCCACAGATTTAATGCCTTCGGAAAGAATAGTGGGTAATCAATCCACACATTAATAGAACAAAGAGACTTTTGCTCTATCAATGTGTGGATTGATTACCTACCAACCATTCCAAATGATTTGTTTTCTTCACACCCCAATAAAACCATATATTTTCAAATTTCATTCATTTATTTTTATTCGCCAACTTAAAATTTTTGAGAATTTACTAACAGTCACTCAAACTAGAACCATATCCGTAACTTCCAGATCCGAAACTGCTTCCAGATCCAAAACCGCTTCCAGATCCATAACTACTTGCGTAGCTATGTACATGTACTGGAGTGTGTACTGCAACAGGGTAAGGCCTGGGAACCTCAACTGGCACTTTAACAGCGTATGGTACTGGAACGTTCACGTGTACTGGATACGGTCTTGGTACTTCCACCTTGAAAATACAGAGGTTAAACACCGATCACAATAAAAACAAAATATTACTTACAGGTACTCTAACTTGAACAGGAACAGCTACTGGATGAGAAACATGTACAGGATAGGGTTGTGGTACGGCTACTCTTTGGACAACAGGCACTGCATATGGTTTTGGAACTGCTACTGGTACGTGTTGAGTAATTGTTTGGACTTCGTGGGTGTGTGAGTGCGTGTTACCAGTGCTATAACTGCTAATACCACCTAAGCCGCCGAAGCCAGAGTAATCTAGAATGACATGAAGATTATATACCTATTTATATAATCAAAAACTGAAAACGAAATAGCTATTTTTCTTCAAAAAGGAACTGAATTGATAGCGTTGCCAAGTCTAACTCAAGTCCTTCTATCCCCAAATATGGATGAATGGTTCAAAATATACCAATATATACGGCGCAAAGACTTCCACTCTAACAAAGGCATCGGTAAGGCAACTACGGGTTGTACAAAGAAAAATAGAAACATCAATGCTTGGCGCGAGTCTAGAGAAACAGTAGGAAATGAGGAGATACGAAGTAGAACGAAGATTAACCATGTTGTTGACTTCATCGAGTGAGTATAGGTACAATTGAAATAGACCGGACACGGTGCTAGATTGATGAACGGCAGATGGACAAGCTAAGAAGAGGCCCTCTACCCGATTGGGCGATGACCTGAAAAGGTTCAAGACGAACTACATTGCGACTACTCAGAAAAGGAAGACCTGGAAACGACTTGAGGAGGCCTATATTCAGCGGTGGATCCAGGAGGCTGGGTGATGATGATGTTTATGAGCCTTCATCTGTTGTAATGTGTACTTGAGGGGAATCAATTTTGCATCATAATAATTATCAGGAATCAGAATTTTGCGCAAGCGTAAGCTCAGGATGCAGTTTTTTTTTTTTAAATAAATTACCAGTCAATCCAGAAGAATATCCCAAACTGCCTCCAGAAGGTATATAGGATCCTAAGTAAATGCTTCTTTTATTAGTTACTTTGCCATCTTTGGTCAATTTGGCATCTTTGACAGGTTTGGCATCTTTGGCCGGTTGAACTTTGTCAGCGGCATGCGCCAAGCCAATGACTATAAGTGCTAAGAACTGAAAAAAAAAGAAACATTTTTTTAAAAGTTATACAGCATAATGACAATTTTAATCGATGTTCTGGTTATCTTTGATAAAGATATCGTTATTTTTATGCAAATAAAAAAATAGATACAATTGTTGAAAATACACGGCAGCTGACACTTCGTGAAGCCTAAAATCTCTTCTCCAAAAATAAGAGCAAGCATGTACATACAGCTGGTCGTTTAAAACTTTCTATGTATTGCCCTGATTCAATTTATTTTTGGAGGGTCCATAGGCTGCTATGTTCTTGGTGAGCCTCTCCAGTTTTGATCAAAAAGTTTTAGGCAGAACCGGACTCACTTCCGAGAAAACTTATCAATTCAAATTCGAGTGAAACAGATTTCTTTTGCCATGACGTTAAATGCAACATTTTGGAAAATTTCACCTAAGTTTGGTCTTGTAACTTTTCAATCAAAACTACTTATTCCAATACCCCTCGAATATAAATTAGGTCAAGGCAATTTATATTCGGTTATTATGGTTAAAAGAGTTGGAACTTTAATTTGGCCCACAGTGATACCGTATAGTGGCAAAATATTATCGATTTATCGAATAAGTAATTAAAAAAAATTGCAGATAATTAAAATTTTCTCAAAAGAAAATGTTTGATAAACGTTATTTGACATTTGAAATTAAGGCGATCATGTTACTTATGGCTTTTTGAAGATAACAAAAACAAAGTCACAGTCTCATAATTTATTAGATTAGCGAGACTGTGACTTTGTTTTTGTTATCTTCAAAAATCTTGCCTTTGGTCTCTTGGATAAAAATGGATGATGCCTTTTTCTTACTTATGGCTGTTTACATACACTTTAATAATAAGGTCAGCCTTAACGATATGAATTCGTTAAAATGAAATACCTACATGGAGAAATGTCACTTCAAGGAATACTTGTTTAGGTTTTCTTAGAATGGATGGTGCAAACGTCCATGGAAAAAAACCATAAGCATTAGTTCACTTTGCCTTTTTTGTCTTTAAATAAACTCTCATCGCTAGAAAAGTTAGGGACGGTACACGTTCACAATAAGGAAAACCATAATAAAATTAAAATCTCTCTATTTTGGCAAAGGAGTCTATTCGAAACAGGAAATAGTATGTTGTGTATTTAGGTAGAAAAGTGAACCGGGATACCCTGTATACCCAACTGCATATTACTATTAAAATAACACAAAAAGTAATCAAAAGTTGTGCGAATGTGAGATTGGAAAAAACAAACTTCCAATAAAACAAAAATCCGAACTTTTTTTTATCACGATCAATGTCAAACCACCCGATGTTACACCACAGTAAAAAAAAATAAACTTACCAAAACTAACTTCATGTTTATGCTTTTTTCACCAAAAAACAACTGATAACTGATTCACATTATAATGTTATATTTATATTTTTTGCGAAGGACGAACTAGAACTAGCCATTCTAGTTTAAAATCAAAAATTTGCACAAAATTCATAAAAAAACATTCTCATATGTAAATTAAGTGATTTATTGGAAATTCCTTCCGATAAAATTTGATACATACTGATTTAGTTATGGCTTAAGTAATCCAAAAACTTGTTAATCATCTTAATAACTATTAAACTTGTAAAACCTAGCAGAAGAAACTGTTACTTGTTCAGCCTAAAAAAATGAGACCAAGAAGAAATTAATCTGTCATAAAACTTTCATGAGCCAAGCGAAGCTTTTTTGAGCCATGTAAGTACTCACCATCCGAGCAAAATATGCAAACATTGTAAATCTTTTTCTGAACAACTTTAAAGGTTCACCTGTCGAGCCACATAGTAGTTGGGTTCAATGAGTCCAGAATGGTAAAGACGCTACTGAATTTTCAGATCAATTATTCAGGTATTTTATATTGATAATGTATACACATAAATTAACCTGAAACTGAAAAATAAACCTAGAAGTTGAAACTAAATTCATGTGAATTTTCTAGCCTGACTGTGAGATGCGTTTCAAGAAAACAACAATATGTTTACTTACTAACCAAATTCATCAAGACAAAAGTTAGAAAGTAGCTAATGATGCTTATAAGAGTTATAAGTTTCAGTTAAACTACCTGTAAAGAGTGGTTCAGAGGTCTTCGTCAGCGCAGAGGTTATTCTAACGTGCAGTTGGACACAAAATGTGCAGTAGGAAAAGTAAATTGTGCAGTGGAAAATTAAAATCTGTGTAGTTATTTTTTCAATGTATTACGAAGAAATAATTTAGTTGACATAATATGCTACATATGAGAATACAATAGCACTATCAATACATTGCATTTATTCTAAAATTTATTGCTAATTTTCCCCCAATCCGCATTGGCCTCCAGCAAAAATATCTTTGCTGTTTGGCCTGTGCTGTTTCTTTATGACCCTGAGCTGACGCTCATTTAACCAAACTATAGTGGCTTGTCGAGGATTCCAATCCAGATAAGGCATATTGTGAAAAATGTAAAAAATGACGTGACTCCCAAAAAATTTTCGCCTGCGGCGCATTATTTTAAACAGTTCACAACCAAACTAGGATATCACTAGCCGCCACTGCTTTTATAACACTCCAAATAATGTAATATCAGACGCGTTTCATGAGTTATTATGAAACCAAAATAGAAAATAGTATATTGTGTTTTTAAGTGGAAAAGTGACACATTCTCCCGACGGTGTAAGTTGACGTGCGAGACGCAGCCGAGGCCGGCAAACACCGAAGGCCGAGAATGTGCTTCTCCTCTGAAATATACATATTATTTTTTCTAGCTGTCGCTCAGGAATAAAAAAAATGAGGAATGCTTTTGTGATGTTGCTGGATCAGCACACTTTCCCCGCCGCATAGAGGTAAGTAACACCCTGTTTAGCATTCGGCAATCCGTTCGACAACGGTTCGGTTTTTTAAATGTAACACCCGTGGTTTCATGGATGTGCGCTTTATCGGGTATTACTTACCCTCGGTATTAGATAGGCCTTTTACTATTACCATCTTGTATATAATTATTTTCTACAAACGTGTTAAAAATGCAATTTTTAACACCCCCCCCGAAGCATTAAAAATGTTACTTTATCGCACTAGTGCCATAAAGTCTTTATAGCACTAGTGTTAAAAATCAAACATCAAATTTTGAGAGCGAACGTCAAAAAAAAATTGTATTTTTGGTTATTTACATTGATATTAATGGTGAAATTTGAACAACTGAGGTAGCCCGATTGGCCGCCTCATCTATATTTTTCAAGGGATCGATGGAACCCTCTTTTTGTTCTGTATTTTGTTGCATTTTAAGCAAAAAGCATTACTGACCACGACAGACTTTCAAGAAACTGACATTTCATTACCTACCTGTAAAACAAGGTGCTGGTTGTTTGGATTTTTTGACAAATGTCAAAGTCAATCATTTTATGTAGGAAAGATGCTTCCAATTTATTATTCATGTAAAGATCCAATTTGTAACTGGTTATTGCTTTTTATTGCCGTTTGTAGAAAAAATATTGTATGATATTTGTGTTAAAAGTATTTTTAAGGCACTTATGTGAATTGCAGAATTCGCTTCGCTCATTCTGCAAACTTTCACATGCGTGCCTTAAAAATGTACTTTTAACACTTATATCATAAATAACTATTTTAGGGCATTGAAATTTTAAAACATGAGTATATAAGTGCCAAATATAATTAATATTGTTATATTATTCTAAATTATACTGTGCGTTCGTAGTTTAGCAGATCAAAACAATAAAAGAGATTTCTCGAAAAACCTCGGACACTAATTTTAATTTAGGAGAACGTCTTTTTCACTATTTGTATAGTTGTGGAACATCGAAAAATCCAAAAAGAATGCCACGTTTCACATTTTTAAATAACACACTGTATATGACTTTTTTTGTTTTTTTTTTTTGTGAAATAACAAGGAATTTAATAATATATAGGGTGGGCCCAAAAAACCGGAATTTTGTTTTTGAGCTGTAATTTTTTTGTTGTTGACCAATTTCTATTGTGTGTAGATATACCTAGACTACAAGAGATTCATAACAATTGTGTGCGATAGGTATATATTGAACCACAGATTGAACATAAATAGACGAGAACATGTTACTCCTCACATTACTAACAGTGAAATGCTCAAGATGAAAGAAAGATGATTTTAACATTTTGCTGTTTTGATACAAAATATTATTTAGAACTCAGAATATCTCTCCGGTGAGGCTTGGTGACATTCATACCAGGTCAACAAGGAACAGATACTTTCGAAATGCCATTACATCGTACTGAATTTTTTCAATCTTCTTTTTCTTACTTGGGCCTACATGTGTACATGATACCAAAAGGAAATACAAAAAGTAGGGCCTATAAGCAAGAATTAACGAGCAAATCAATAGAATACAAAAAGTTTGAAACATAAAAAACTAATAATATTATATCTATACTTTGTATCAAATAAAGGCATTACTGTTAAACATTATGTGAATGCAAATCTGTCCAGGGTAAGTAACACCCGATAAAGAAACTCTCCGTTGCGATATCGGGTGTTACATTCAAATTTGTGAACGTGAGCCAAATGGGTGTTACTTACCTCCATGCTTCCCGGCCTAGGCCGGAAAATTGTTTCCCGTACTGTTATCCATTCCTTCCTTAGTAGGCCGGAAAAGTATTTCCCGTACTGCTATCCATTCCTTCCTTAGTAATCACTTTCTCGGCCTAGGGGAAAAATTATTCCTGTACTGTTATCCATTATTCATCGATTTCCTTAGCAACCATTGAAAATACCAGAATTTCGAGTTTTGCAACCTGTCAACCGGTCAAAAATGATGACATTTCTTGTCAATCGCGGAAAACATATATTATGTGAATGTATGTAAGTAATACGTACATATCATGGTAATACATACGGTGATTTATTTCCTCTATGTGCAGTGGAAAAAAATCCTTAGAATAGAATAACCTCTGCGTCAGCGCTCTTGCCCCATCATTATGGGGCAAGTGCGATTTAAGTTGTTATAAGTATAT